GCTATTGGGAAAGTAAAGGTGTTACAATACCTGTCCTTGAAAATTCAAAATTGGCATTTTAATTTTTATATATTTCCTCTACAAGCCGAAAGGTTTATTAGCGAGTACCACCTTGCAAAGGGGCGGGGTGGGGTGGTCACGGAGGAACCTAAGGCAGACGTCATGTCATCACACAAGGGGAAGGGAGAGGCTTTGAGGGCATTTTGGTGGCGAGGACATGTTGATTCATGAAAAGAGGTAGAGAATCTGAATTGAATCCATATGGGTGGGATTATGGTAATTGAGTACATAGGCAAGTGATGTTCAAAATGGGAACTGTGGCAAAGGCTTCTGGGTGGCATATCCTCCAGTTTCTCAGCTTCGAGTGCTCTGCCTGGGTGCTGTTTGCTTTTGGGTTCAACTTGAGTTTACAGGCATCTAGTCTCCTCTTGTTCCATTCCGAGGTGGCCAAATGCTAATTGCATTTGCAAGGTGGTGTCTCAACATCTAATGTCCTCTGTAAAACCTGAGGAGCCCTGGTTGTGTAGTGATTATGAGTTGGGCTGCTAACTGCAAGGTCAGCAGTTCAAAACCCCCAGCCACTTCTTGGGAGAACCAACAGAGCTTTCAGTTTCAGAAACTCACAGGGGCAGTTCCACCTGTCCTATAGAGCCGTTATGAGACAGCAGCTACTCAGTGATAGTGAGTTGAGTTGTCAACCCTGAAGCCAAGTAAGTAAGAGGCATGGCAGCAGAAGCAAAAGACACAAGGCCATCTGAAGCCAGATGCGATTTTGGTCCACACAGCCAGTCAGGCCTTTTTTTGTTCTTCTGATCGCATGAGTGTACAAGATGGTCACCCTCAATCCCAGCTGCCTAGACTTGAATTGTTCTTGCTGTGGCATTCCTGAGACCTATAAACACACTGGGGCACAGCTGTAGCCGAGCGAGAGGGTTGGGGCCATGACAGCATGGGAGCAGCCCAGGGAACACTGAGAGCCAGGTCTCAAAGTTGGCATTTTTAATGAATATATGTATGTGCGTGTGTAAATATCCATTGATATTTCTATTGCTAGGATCGCTCTGACAACTGTGGTGATGGGATTCATCCAAGCATAATCTCAAATTTTGGAAACTATTGCAAAGAACAAAAAACAGGTAAGAAGTTTAGTTTTTCTTTTAATGTTGAGCATATTATTTCTTGCTTAAAAAGAAATCCAGCAGTTACAGCTGGTATTATCTGCTCATGCCTTGATGCAAATTATTTGAGGATAGAGATCATTTGGGAAGGGTAGGCTCTCTTCAGAGAACCCTCATATTTAACCTTCCGAAAGCAATGGCTTCCATCAGGAGTCCCAGAATTGGTCTCTTCACTTCATCTGTCTGGTTTTGCTTATGAGTGGAACTTGTTAAGGAAATTCATGTGTCAATTTTGAAAACTTTCAAAATATTTAAGTGGAATTTAGTTTAAAATCTCAATTTATCGAGGCGATTCTGACTACTAATGGCCCTTTTTGTGTCAGAATAGAACTGTGTTCCATAGGACTTTCAGTGGCTGCCTTTTCGGGAGAGGGGGCCTTTTCCCAGCTGCTTGTGGGCGGACGCAAACCCTCAGCCTTTCAGTTTGTTGCTGTGAACTTAACTGTTTATAACACAGAGAATCTCTCAAAATAGATTTCCAGGATTTAACTAGAAATATTTCATTGCTTATCTTTTCTGCCTTTAGTTTTATAAGTAACATCTACCTTTTTTACTATATAAATAAGACCAGAATCTAATCTTATTTTAAGATTCTACTATATACTTTTTACACTGCATAAGCGTTCTTGTCGTCCCATTCATTATCCACAGTTGACCAGCAAAACCTTAAAGTCCCGGCCTTTCCACATGTGAGGAAGAGAGTCACTTTTGGAGAGGACCTGAGTCCTGAAGTGTTTGATGAGTCCCTGCCAGCAAACACTCCAGTGCGAAAAGGAGAAGCACCGCTTAGCAGAAGGGATTTTCCTCGGGCCGGTCCTCTGCAACTCAACTACTCGCCCGAGCGGGTGTCTCCACCAAATTTTGATGACAAGGGAGAGAATCTTGTAAGTGTGGAAAATGTTGGGGGAAACTTATTTTCATCAGGCTCCCCCTATTTTGTGTGAGCAATGATTATGCTTTGAACTCTTAAAATGATGTTCTGTGGTAGAGCTGAATAGGTTTTTATTATTTTACCCTTATTTATGAACACTGCTTCCATGAATCCTTCTCCATAGTGGACGGAGCCCAGTGGTTGACTGTGAGGTGCAGCATTGTTTTACGTATTATCATGAGACACGACTGAGCACAAACTGTGGCGCACCATGAATGATTAGGTGTACTCCGATTTCAGAGAGGTTAGATTGAAAGAGTCACCATTTCAAATGAAATACTATGTACTATAGTTAGCCCCAACCCCAGTGATGATTTTCTACCATTGGAATTATGATATAAAAATAGATGAGCATTTGTGTACTTTTTGCTACATAGTCCTAAATTATCACCCAGAAAGTTTGTATTAATTTGAACTCCCTGAGGTACAAATTATTTTGTCATAGCTTTGTGAACTAAAAGATATTTTTAGAGTTTAATAGAAGAAAAGTGATTAGAAAAATTTCAGTGAGATGTAATCATTTTACAATATGGTGATAATGCCATTTGGATTTTTCTCGAGAGTTGCCTATTTATGTTCCTTTTCATTGTCTCTTCAGTTGGATGTGTGTGAATAAAATTACCACTTACAGAAAAAATGTAGTCATCTTACCAAACTCACTGCTGTGGAGTCAGTGCTAACTCCCAGTGACCCTCTAGGACGAGGAGAACTGCCCCTATGAGTTGCTAAGACAGTAACTGTTGACAGGAGCCCCATCTTTCTCCCTGGGAGCGGCTGGTGTTTTCCACTGCCGACCTTGCGGATTGCCGTCCAATGTATAACCCCTACGCCACCAGGGCTCCTGTAGATAAAACTTAGGTGGTCTCATTTATTCTTTCCTGGTATCCAAGTTTTATCTACAAGAGACCTTTCTCAAGACTTGAGCCTCAGGCATAGGGCAGTAATCCTTGAAAGAGGGTCACAAAGAAAGTGAGCCTTAGAATGGCTGCAGCACCTGTAGGGGAGCCCAGGGAGAACCTGTGTCCTCCCTGAGTTGAGGAGATGGGCTTAGTCGTGTAGGGGAGCCTTGGAGACTAGGGTGCACAGGGCAGACATCAAGAGGAGAGGGCGCACAGAGCAAGCTCTGGAGAGCCCCTGGAGGCGTCAGCTGAGTGCCGACGAGTATGTATACTGTATGAACTCTCCAAGGTTCCATCCAGAAGGAACCCCCAATGGAACAGAAGCAACCATCCTAGAGCTGATGGGCAAGGAGAGTTCCTCTCAGCTAGAGTAGGAAGACTTTACAGTTCCGAGTCCTTAAAAGAGCACTGCCTTGCTCCACTTTAAAACCCATGGGGAAAACCAGGCTCCCTGCTCTTGTAAAGAGTGACAGTCCCAGAAACCTGCAGTGGCCGTTCTGCCCTCTCCTGTAACGGTCGCGGTGACCTTGACAAGCTGGTTGACACAGTGGCTGTGACAGTGGGCTCACACATCAGCGCAATTGTGCGGTGGTCCAGGACCGGCGGTGCTTCAGTCTGACGTCCATGCGGTTGCTCTGCATGGGAACTGACTCCATGGCACCTGACAACAACATGAGTTGATGGCGGTGAGTTTGAGGAAACAAAATCAAACCCTTTGCCCTCAAGTTGTTTCCAATTCACAGTGACCCCACCCCATAGAGCAGAGGAGAATGGGGCCATCATAGCGTTTCCAAGACTGTGATCTGTACATACACATATTGCCACATCTTTATCCCACCCAGCAGCTGGTGGATTAAAATTGCCAAACTTGCAGTTAGCAACCAAGCGTTTTAACCACTGCCCCACTGGGATTCCTGTTGCCTCACTAAACCAAACCTTCTGTCACCGAATTGATTTCAGTCAAGCCTAGTGACCCTAGATTTCCAAGACCGTGAATCCTATTGGATTAGACAGCCTTTTGCCCATGAAGCAGCCATGTCAACTTTATGGTTAGCCCACCAATCCTGCCCTGGTCCTGCCTAACAAAGCTTAGAAGGTGTTCTTGAAAGTATCAAACATATAGGGAAGTAACTAAGTGCATTGGAAGAGCAAAACTCAGAATATTTACAAGAATACAAAAGGATCCAGCGACATAAGTAAAATTTAGAATATGTGGCTGCCAGTTAATTAAAAATTGCCAGGTGTGCAAATGAGAAGGGGAAATTACCCAGTAGGAAAAAGATCTAGAAGTGACACACACTCATCATAAAATTTGTAAATAAAGGCATTTTAAAAGTTGTAACTATTCCATATGTCCAAGAAGGGAAAGACAACATGGACGATAAAGACCTAAGTTGAACTCTATATGTAAAAATTATAATCTCTGAGAGGAAACAAACATTGAGTGGGGTTAGCAGTAGATTAGTGAAGACCATACAAATTATTCTAACTGAAACACAAAGAAAATGGAATAGAAAGATCAGCGTACCAGTGAGCTGGGACCTCCTTAGGTGACATAGTATTTGTGTAATCAGTGTTCCCCAAAAATGAAGATAAAGCGGGAAGAATTATCTATATTCTCCCCCCAAAAGCCAGAAAAATTTCTTAATTCGATGGAAATTATAAACCTACAGATACTAGACTTTAACACACTCCAAGCACAAAGAACCATGATGAACAATGAAGATACTAAGATGCATGTTAATGAACTTTAAAATTAATGATCAAGAAAATCCTTAGAGCAGCCAAGGAACATACACATGTAACATACCGAAGTGTAAATCTATAAAAACTACAGCATACTTCTCATCAAACACCGTACAAGTCCGGCAAGAGTACTGCGAGATAGTAAATTACTGCTGATCCACAACTCTACTCACTGAAAGGGTCTTTAAGAACAAAGACAGAGCAAAGACTTTTATACAAAAGCTGAGCAAATTTCATCACCACAGCATATTTATAGTATGAGGGATGTTAAGGGAAGTTGTTGGGTTTTTTGTTGTGTGTTTTTTTTCCAGCAAAAGGAAAATAATTCCAGGTGAAATCTACATCTGTGCAAAGAAATGAAGAGCTCTTTTTAATATACTAAATGTGGGTAAATCTCATAGACCATTTGTTCTTATTTTTAACCTTTTAAGAAAGCATTAGTTAAAAGAGAAAATTAACAACAATGGGTTAGTGTTAGGGCTTATAATGTGTAGGTGTAAAATATACTGGCATAAAATATGAGGGTAAGTCAAAAAGTATTGCCGCTTGGATTGCATTTTGCACCCGCATAGGTTTATTTCAAATGGAATACTTATTTTAAAATGTCTTCGCAATCAGTGGATGGCTGCAGACGAGTTCTGTCAGGACACACTTGTCGTAGTCTGCGGAAACTCAAAACCCCCCTTGCTGCTGTCTGTTGCCATCGCCACCCTGCAGAACAGACCAACGCTTCGTCCCACAGAGCGGGTGGTGATTCCACACTGCCGACCTTGCCAGTAGCAGTCCAGTGTGTAATCCGCTGGCTCTCAGCCTGTGGGTCACCACCCCTTTGGGGGTCGAACGACTCTTTCACAGGGGTGGCCCGATTCATAACAGCAAAATGGCAGTTATGAAGTAGCAACGAAAATAACTTTATGGTTGGGGGGATCACCACAACAGGAGGAACTGTATTAAAGGGTTGTGGCAATAGGAAGGTTGAGAACCATTGCACTATAGCATCAGGGCCTCGTGAATCTTGCCAGGGTGCCTTAAAAATCCCATCAAAACTGGCTTGTAAAGGAATCCATGAGACCAGTTAGATCCAAGGCACAGAGTTCAGCTGTTGGGGATTCTGAAGGGTCAAGCTCCCTTTAGAAGGACACCACGCTTAGTAAAGTACAGGGTCACCACAGGGAAGGGAACCTTCAACGAAATGGATGGACGGCTCAACGAAATGGATGGACGACAGTGGCTGCAGCAATGGTATCACAAATCACTTAGTGAGGCTGTCCTGCAGACCTCAGTGCTTTGTTCTGTTGTTCCCAAGTTCACTGCTAGAGCTGACTTGGTGGCACCTAGCAACACCAATCGTGATAGGTGTTCTTAAAGGGTGCAGGATAAGCACAAAGCTTATTAGGAAGATTTTCTTTTAGAAAATTGAAAGCTGCATTGGTGAGGAAAAGTTCAGAACAATTAATGGCAAGATTTATTTTTCTATCAAGGTAATGCACATTTGCTCATTCTCTGAACACAAACAAGGGCTATTCTATGAGAAGTTCATTGGGAAACTACCCTATCCACCCTAAAGTCCTCATTTTTCCATGTCAGACTTAATTCTTTTTCCCACCAAAATTCCAAAGAACATTTAAAAGGAACACAATTTGAGTCCCTCAAGGATGTCAGAAGTGCTGTTTTGATTTGGCGTGAATTGCCAAGTGCAGAATCTGTCAGGGAAGGGATACAGAGTGATGGAAACACTGCCTTTGGAAGCACATAGGCCTAGATGGAGGCTGTGTCTGGAAAGATTCGTTTCACATCTAGTGTTTTTGTTTCATACAGGTTCCCATGATTTCATAGTGATCCTATCTTGTGACTTGTCAGAAAAGAGAAAGGAGTTAGGTTGTTGCCTGGTTCTTCACCTTGACAGAGCGGTAGAAACCACAGATAAATAAACCACAGAGCAACCACTAGGAAGCAATAAACAAAAGTGGGATACAGCGAAAACAGTGCTTAGAGGGAATTTTAAGACAACAAATGCTCATATCAAAATGGTAGAAAACGTCTGAAATCGATGGTCTCAGCTTCCACTTAACACTAGGAGAAAAAATCATCAAATCAGAGCTAAAGTAGAACTAAGGAAATAGTAAAGATAAATGGATGGCTGGAAAATAGAAAAAAACGAGAAAAAGCATTGAAATTGAAGTTTGTCCTTTGAGGGGAAAATTAATAAATATCAAGCTGATGAGGGAAAAAGACTGATATGTTTTCAGGATAATAGGGAAGACTATGAACAACATTCTATCAATAATTAACCATCTCACATCAACAAATGGAGCCCCTCGGAGAACCTGGATGCATTCTTTCAGGCACAAACCTAGAAGAAGAGCTGAATTCAGAAGGGCCTGTATCACACTGTAGCAGCAAAAGAAATTTACATTGTAATTACAAGTCTTCCCACAATATATTGTAAGAACAAAACTCTGTGTCAAGATATTGTTACTGGTGAATTCTACCAAATATGCAAGGAAGATAATAGTACTTCTTCTATGTAAAACCTCTCTCAAAACAATTGAGGAGATGGGCTACATCCCAATTCAGTTTTATGTCAACATTAACCTGATTTGCCCTATCAACGAGACAGACATCACCAAAAATTTCACATGAAAATTCTTGGCAAAATTTAACTGTTAGAATATAATACATCGTGACCGGAAGAAATTTATTCCAAGCAGGGACTGTAAGGTTGGTTTAACCTTTGAAAAACAATCGGCGTAATGAAGAAAAAACCCCGTGATGATGACAGTAGATGTCGACAAATCCAACATCCATTTCTGAGAAAGACTCAGCAAACTGGTGGTAAAGCAGTTCCTTCGACCGGATAGACCGAGTATCAGAGGTGGTGGGGGACAGCTGTTCTCAAGTTGATGCCTACCCACTCGTGTTTGGGGTAGGACTGTGCCCCGCAGACTCTTCCTGGCCACCACTTTTCAGAAGCACCTTGTCAGGCCTTGATCCCTAGGTGTCTGTGGGAGATTCAAGCTGCCAGACTTTCAGTTAGTCACCGGGTGCCCACCATTTTAGCACTCCTATGGAAGACACAAGATTTGGTATTTTTGTTTATATTGACATTTTACCTTGGGCTCTCAGGTATGTTTATTCATGGATTTTCGTATTTGCTTGAAAGGAGTTAGGACTTGGAATCTTAAATCACTAAAGGAACTTCGTGGTTTGTTACTGCTTCATTCATTGATGTATTTATTTTTGTGTGGGTACATTGCCTTTATTAAACATGGCTTTATTATAAAGATGGTAAGTATTGTGACATATGGGAGTACTTATATCTGATATCTTTATCAATGATTTTTTTTCCTCCCCATCTTCATGGCTTATTACAGTCTTCCTACCAAAGTAAATAATTTTTCTGTAGTAAATGCTTTGTTTACATATTTACTAAATTTAAGGACTTATGTTTCTTTCCCTTCTCTTCTGTGTTTAGGAAAACATAGAACCACTTCCTGCATCGTTTGGGGTTCTCAGTCCTAGTAAATCTTCAGTCTCTGAGACTCCTTCAGGTACTGTTATCTTTTCATTGCACGTGCCACTTTCAGTGGATGTATATACGGAACTTAATCTCATTTTTCACTTTTATTATAGCAATGCATAAGTCTTTTAAAAGTCAAACCATGTAGAAATGCTTAAGAAGTCTCATATCCATCCTTGCCTTGTCACTTTCAGACGTCCTTAAAGGCACCCCCATTTTCCAAGTTACTATATAAGTTCTAGAGGTGCCCACCTAATGTCTAACCGCCAACATGAAGCTCTGTTTTACAGTTTCCACAATCAAAGTGGCGTGGAATATAAGGTGTTTTTTTTTTTTTATATCTGAAATAGCTCACCAACATTAGCATGGCAATTTTGGCACGAGTACTTACCAAGGTCTGAGATTTTTTTATGATCTTGATTTTTCTCTACTCTCTTGATGAACCAAGGCGTGATTGGCATGCGTCATGGGAGAAGCTCAGGATAGGAATCATTTCTAATGTCTGTGAAATCCTTTAATAGCTTCACATCACCTGTAGGACACAAGCTTAGTAGCATAGAATTCTAGAAATATTTTAAGTTGCAACAGAAATTTGAGTCATGCATAATTTGTCAAGTTCCAAAACCTATAGCCGTAAACACATTATTCTGCTTTTATTTATTAAGCGTGATTAAATTAAAATTTTGCAAAATGCTATAAAATATTTTCAGTCATTTTAATGCCCTTTATTGCCGTTATATAAGATGTAGCTTGGAGTAAATGAGACATCAGTGAAAATATCATGTATTTGTTGTAACATGACTTGTAAGCTGTGAGACCAGCATTGAAATATGTTGTGATTGTGGAGAGTGGTAAACATGTTCATTGTACTTAATCTTGGCTCTCAAAATTGATTCTTCTTGGTAGTTAATTACATATGTTTTGGTGTGATATGAAAAGCAAAGGTGGATATCCAAAAAGTACCTAGTGTATCCCAAAACATGATGCATCTTAGAAGTGTTTGGTTAGCTGCCTGACTTTTGCCTGTCTCTTTCCTGTCAGGCACGGATACCTCCAATCTCCAGGAGACTGTGTCTTCCCACGATGTTGGCAGAATCACAAGGGCCGCTAACAGAAGAAGTGTATGTATTTGACACAATGTATCTATTTTGAAGTAATGTAATGTGCTTTTCTATTTTCATCATCAAATAATAGGTAAAGTCTTGGTTTGATCAATGCAATTAAAAATGATTACTTTATTCTACCTGGCATGTAACCCATGATAATGGCATTTTCTGGATTTGATTTGTTTAATTCTATTAGAAAACAATTTCCATAACATATAACAGTAATAAAGTTTGTATTGATATGAAGATAATTTGTTTGAAAAATGTGTTGAGGACGGATATCTTTTATTTCAAAGTGAGGTTCAGATTAGAGAATGTCATTGTAGATCAGGGCATAATTAGCAGAGGGTATTTATCTGTTTTCAACACTAGGTTTCAACTGCTTTCAATATAAATGAAAGTTCCTATTAAATGCAGGTGTTCTGTTACTTAATTAGATAAAATCGAATTTTGTGTGTTGCATCATCGCGCACAAATACACAAATATATATTATACAGTCATAGCATTTTTAACTAGTTTGGTTGGGTGGCAATCCCAGATTTCAAACTTAGATCATCTAATCAGTTATCAGCAAATAGATGCCAAGTTGTAAATGCCTTATAATTGCTTGGTCAATAAATAAGTCAACTAATTTGTAGGTTGATCTTTTGTAATATAATTGGTAAAATAGACATGCTTCTAGATCCATTATTTTTCAAAGGTCAGAACTTGGTAATGACCATTCCTTCATGTGGAATCAAGTTGCCTAAAATACTTCTAATGGAATTTGTGAGTTAAGAGGAAACGGACTATAAATTGGTTGGAGCAGCGTGGGTGAAAACACAAAATTGAGGGATAGACATTAAACTTAACTGCTTTTACTTTGTATTATATCATTATAGCAATTGACGAGCTTCACAGAGGAGACTATTTGCAATTTAGTTAATACAGAAGCCCAGCATTGTAAAGAAAAAAAAATTATTAGGAGAAAGTCTCAAGAAATTAAGCAAACCAACAGAGCACTTCCTAAAAATCATGTAAGTGTATGTTTTAAAGATATAAGGATAGGAATGGTTCATTTTGTTGTTTGTTTCCTACAACCAGCCTGGTATGTAATAGTTACTTCCAGTAAACGTTGGATCCTTATTTCTGAGTCGCACCTAATCTGATGTAACCTCTTACTCTCAAGATGTAACCTCTTACTCTCAAGGGATCCTCTGATATTTTAGACAGAGCTGAATGTGTGGTCTGCTACTGTTTGGACTGCTCTTCTGCCAGTCTGATTCGTTTCCTTCACCTGATAACTTGCTGACTCATGCTCACCACTTCAAGGCCACCATCCGCGATAACCAGACCAACTCCTGGAAACAATTCCTTGACCCACTTCACTGCAATAATCTGGGCCTCCATTTCCACCTACTCATTTCCTCTGCCATGCCAGGCAGTGTTACTGCCCCGCCCCTCCCATTCCCAGACGGAGACTGCTACCCACCCAGCTTTCTCACTCTTTTCCTCATGGTTTGTTGTGATCATCTGTGGCCCCAACATTCACTCTCAGATCTTTAAGACCAAGGTATGTCGATTCATAGCCACAAGACACTGTCTTTCTAATCCAGAAAGAGCCCTTTCAAGTCACATCCTACCTGTGATTAATGGTGAAAGATCCTCTTCCTGAAAAGAAAAGAGACAAATTAACATATATATGTGTTATATATATATCCATTTAAATTATTGCATTAAAAATGGGTTTCTTCATGTGCTGACTTAAAAAACACTAAAACTGTGAAGAATGTACCCTTGTTTTTTCATATATAAAATCAGTGACCAGAAAGTTCAAGAAGTGTTGAGTTTTTAAATTTTGCTCCCACTCCTCCCAGGTTGATTTAATGAAAGAAATAGGTTTAGAGTAGCAAAGAGGAGAAAGGGAATGAGATGGGGTATTAAGCAACAGACGACAGCCTTCAATGAGTTTCTGGAAGACAAAGCAGATGGGAGCATGTTGACAGATAAAAGAGGTGGAAAGATTTACAGCTCAGAATGTGCTAGGAGGGAGCTAAGAGGAGCTGGGAACCGCCAGCCTGCTGACAGGAATCCCAGGAGGCTCTGGGCCCGAATTGGCAGGTACAATGGATGGTGAGAGTGAGAAGTGGTCCTGAAAAACAGAGATTAATCGAAGCCCTGTATATGGAACATTTTGCACCAGTTGGCACCCCTTCCCCCTCTCCTACCCTGATGCTGAGAACAGATGTTGTCATCTAGGTTAAAGCCTCGTTCTGGCTTTTGGAAAGCCCCACAGCCTGGACAGCAAGCTCTTGTCTGGCAGTGGACACTCCCCTTTCTGCTCTGACTGAGCCGCAGAGTTCCCAGTTACCGTGTTCTGGCAGGGCTGAGACGGAGCTGAATGCAGAGGAAATCCACCCCGACCTGTCTAATCTCTGGTACAGGACTAGGATAAGATAGCCAATAGCATGTAAGAGAAAAAGCCAATGTTACCAAGTAGAAAAGCTTACCCTGGAGTGATATTTGGGTGATGTAAGGAAACTTGATAAAATTAAGGATGCAACTGTTTTGTTATGAGCAGACTTAGGGTTTATCTTTGTTACGCTAAGAAGGGAATGCTGCGGAGAAAAAATAATGGGAAGAATATAAAATTTAGTAGTTGAACTGAAGAAAAAAATTCCTACAACGTGGTGGCTCACCCCATATCCCACCCTCCCACAAACACACCAAAAAAAAAAGATTGAAAATATATAGGAAATTTCATAAGGGTCTCAGAGAAAGGAGACAATAAATAGATGTTCGCAAAAATTATTTTAAAGATTTCCCAAAATTGAAGTTATTTTTCATGGTTAGCACATTTTCTATAAACTTCATTATACATCTTTTTCTTTGACGTTCGTGCTTCCATTCATATTTATTGAGTAGCCACATATGTGCCACAGCCTTTGTATAAGATGACAGGGGGAGCCTCTTCGAGGAAGGATTTTTAAAATCCTGTTTAAGGGTTTTTTTCCTTTAATATCCATGAATGAGAAAACTGTTCTAGATGGATATGATGACATTGACCAAACCGAACCAAAAACCCCATTCACGACTGTCACGTCTGTTCTGACTCAGTGATATGCGACAGAGCAGATGCGTTTCCAAGGCTGTCGATCTTTATAGAAGCAGACGGCTTCATCTTTCTGGAGTGGCTGTTGAATCTCGTGGTTAGCAGCTGAGCGCTTTTACCACTGTGTCACTAGGGCAGCGGTTCTCAACCTGTGGGTCGCGGCCCCTTTGGGAGGGCGAACGATCCTTTTACAAGAGTTGCCCCATTTATCACAGTAGCAAAATGACAGTTATGAAGTAGCAACAAAAATAATGTTATGGTTGGCTGGGAGTAACCACCACATGAGGAACTGTGTTAAAGGTTCACGGGTTAGGAAGGTTGGGAACCTAGCTAACACAGAACCACTGCCTTAGAGCGTCTTCAAAACATTTCTCATGTTAGCTTACTGATCTTCACAGCAGCTTTAGGAGGCAATGTTACTCCCATTTTACAGCGTGTACAATGCGTGGTAACTTGCCTAAGATAATGAAGCAGCTAAGTAGGAGAGATAACATTTGAACTCAAGGAATTCCCAACCAAAGTCTGTATTTTTTTTAACTCGTCTATGAATACCAAATGATAGATTTTCTTTTTCTCTTATATTTCCACATCCATTGACTAAGTCAGCATTTTCCAGGCTGTTCCATGAAAAACATTTCATGGAAAAATAATTATGTAGCCCAGCATTTCTCTACTGTGTATACAGATTATTTACACTGAGGACTTCTCAGAGATTTAATGTTGTATGTATACTGTAAATTATCAAGAGGATCATTCATCTTGTATAGTCTAAAATTACTTTCCCATGGAATTTTGTTTTGCTTTAGAAAATACAGCGAGCTCAGGAAACATAGTTCTGTGCCCCTTCTGTCATCTTGAATGTCATTCATTAACCACTGTTAGTTTCACTCAGCTCTTCCATATTGTCACCCACATGAGCCACTTTTGTTGTAAGACCAACTGTAGTTCATTCCATGAACCAATGAGCTTTCAATTTTAAGGTTCACACTTATTGCATACAAGTATCCACTTGGCCAAACCCTTGTCAGGAATCTTCTACTTGTGTTTGATAAAACTCATTTACACCTATTTTTAAAATTTTAAACATACATATAACAACTAGCCAATTCTACATTTTCCGGGTATACAATTTATGGCATCATTTTTGTTAAGCATTTCTATGCAACCATCACCAGAATTCCTGATGTCCGAATCAAAAACTCAAGCCGTCTGAAACAATGGCTCCCGCTTTCCTCTCCTCGCCACCCCTCATAAGCACTGTGACCCTTAGATCTCTCTGTATTCGCCTCTCCCTCTTAGTTCACGTAAATAATACCATGTAAATCTTCCCTTTTGTGATTGACAGGCTCTCCCGTGGCTCTGTCACGTAAGCACTTGGACTGCTAACCAGCAGGTTGGTGGTTCCATACCACCAGCAGGTCCGTGGGGAAGTGAGACTGCTCCTGTAACGATGACACCCTTGGAGACCCGATGTACTCTGGTCCTGCTCAGCTCGATGGTTCTGTGATCGACTGACTTCACTCAACATAGTGTTTATATCGGGACTTCATTTCTCTTTATGGCCGAACAGTATTCCGTTTCCTCTAGGTTCTGTTTTGTTAACCATCCATCCTCTGATAGACGCTGAGCTTGTTTTGACCTTTCTGCAGCGTGGTGCTGCATGGAGCGTTAGTGTGCGTGTGTCATGGCCTCGCTGCTGACTTCCCTCTTCTCTTGTTCGTTCTTCTCTCCACAGTAAGTGAAATCCGCTGTGTACTTAATCTACACGTGAAGGTGTAAATGGCAGTGCATTTGGAGTTGGATTTTTGTTTCCTTCCAACTTTCTCCCTTGGTTCAAGTTACTCAACAACTCTTTTCCTTCCGAACTTTGTTGTTGGGCAAACACTACCCCTTTGGTCTCCGTGGCGGATTGTTCCAAGGAGCACGTTCCTCCTGGTGTTACTTTTCATTTTGTTGACCTTTCTGTGATTGGCTGGAAAGTGATATTTTGGAGTGGGTTCAGTTGCAGATGTTAGGGTGTTTATTTAACTGCTGCTTATTTTTTCATGTATTTTAGTGAATTTACATGTATGGAACTACTGAAAGTTACCCTGTAGTTTTTGGTAAACTATTCTGTTTCATGAATGTGAATTTTGTTTTACATTTTTCTCCCACTCTGTCCAGGACTTTCTATTGGTGACTCCCAACAGGACAATCTGTAGTGGTAGCTGGACAGACATTATCTACTTATTCTGTTGGCGACGTAAAAAAAATTTTGTTTGTTTAAATCACCTCAGCTAATTTTGTGTTTGCTTCCAAATTTCTACTCATAGCACACTTATTTTTCCTTCAGAGGAGGAGAAAATAATCACATAGCATTCCCTTCTGAAAGATGGCCCTTCTAGGTTAATTTTGAGTCACTATCTCTGTGTCCTGGGTATAACTAGCTCGTTCTGTTTTATGTCTGTCTGACTGTGCACCATCCAATCTTTGTCCTTTATTTAACTGCTGCTTATTTTTTCATGTATTTTAGTGAATTTACATGTGTGGAACTACTGAAAGTTACCCTGTAGTTTTTGGTAAACTATTTTGCTTTATAGTATATATAATTTTGTGCTTGTGTCACCTAGCTTCATCATCCATTCCAGTTTCTTGAATTTTTTAAGGAACAACTAACTAGTTGGGATTTTTTCCTGTGAAAAGGACCTTTAAAAAGAAAAGAAACCAGTGTGATTAATGATTAGAGGTCTCGTAGGAGATGAAGAATTGCACATGGTGTGCCATCTTTCTCAAAACTTATTCTCAAATATGTTTTAATATATTTCCTCAGGTCTGTAAAGGTGGCAGAAGGAAGAAAAAAAAGGGGAAACAGCAGAGTGCGAAGAAGTCTTTATATGGGGAGAGGGAGACTGTGTCTAAGAAACCTCTCCTGAGTCCGATCCCTGAGATCCCGGAGGTGACGCCTGTGGTTCCAGGAGCCCGGAGGAGGTGTGCAGGTGTGCCATCTTTGTTCTGGTATTGACCCTTAATTTCCTCTGTGCTCTGTTTGTTGCCATTTAATCCTCTTCTCCCCTCCCCTCTGTTTCCTTCTCTCTTTATTTTACCCATTCACTATGTAACACGTACACAAGTTAAAAAATAACTTTTCCTCATATTCCCGTGAGAATTTTAGAGAGAAAAACAGAACCCTTTAAGAATGCATTAGGTTCTAACTTTCATGTAACCATAACTCTCTTTAAGACTGCTCAGGCTAGTCTAGCCCACTACCATGGAGTTAATTCTGCCTCATAGTAATCCTGGGGGTCATAGGAGAACCACCGCCCATTGAGTTTCTGAGGTTGTAAATCTTTAGAAGAGATAAAGCTTCGTGTTTGTAAGAATTTGATAGCCACTCTGAATTTCCTTAAAGTAACTTCTTCACAAGAGTTTGTATATGATTTCAGAGGACTCTATTTTCTGTTCATTCTGTTTCCTTTTACTCTATAAAGCGTTTTGTTAAAGTGAATACTATTTGGTGGTCTATCATTAAAGGCCAAAGAGGTGATGCTTAGTGTTAGGTCCATCTTTTGCACATTAGAACAAGAACTTAAGGATGGCACAAGGTGGCACAATTAGGGATCTTCCAGGAATAAAATTTATACTTTGAACTTGACTCTCAAAGTGAGTGTTGTTTTACAGAGAAAATTGAGTCATTTGGGTTTTGGTTAGATAAAGATAGACGTGGAATTGCTTCTAATTTGACATGCATGAGTTTTAAATAAATTCTGCCGAAAATAGTGCTGCACATCCCATTTGGTGTGTTAATTTTATATTGAAGCTTTTAAAGAATAGCTGCCTTTGTCAGTCAGCAGGTATTTAGAGCCTGCATTTTATTGGCGACCTACCTTATAGGATTTATAATAGATTCAAGATGAAATAGGTACATGCCAGTGTAGAGCCTTGGCTTCTACTGAGAGAAGAGAAATTTAAACGAACAGACAAACCAACCATTGCAACAAACACAGCCACACACTCTTCTCCAGCCCCTTGGCACCGACAGTGGCACGACTCTGGGGTGGCTTGAGCAAGGGATCTAATTAAGACCTGCTTATCCTTAAAAAGATTTTTCTAGGTTGTCTTCCTTCCCAGGTGTTACACTTTTTTCCACCTGGCGTTAGAAAATTCTATTATCTAGGGTTTGAAAATGGTTCATTTGAACCCCTGTTGAGTATCTACATTTTAAAAAGATCCTCTGATGATTCTTATTTATATATGAACTATCTATCTGCCATCCTCCCTAAAGCTATAGTGTCTTGAGAATAAAAACTCGTTCTTATATTCCCAAATCCTAAGTTTTTCAAGAGATGTTTGTAGAGGAACTGTTAGTAATTGTCTGTCTTGCGTTGTATTACAGTCTCTTTTGAGAAGCACCCGAGGCAGCTTGTTTAACGCAGTTCTGCTTTTTCCTTTCTCTTTGTCTCTTTGCTTCCCCTCCTTGTTTCTTTTTTCCCCCCGCCTTTAGTATGTAAATGAATGCTATTTTTCATACTATCAATTTTTATATGAAAATTACACATACTTTTAAAAGCTGTATAAAGAGCTCAACTAAAATATTAGTTGGTTGACTTTATCCTTTTTTGATTTTGGGGTCAACTTGTTTTGCATACCTTCCTGGTTTTATTTTAATAGTCATTTGAATGGCCGATCAAAAACTTCATCCAGGGCAGCAAGACAGATAACTTCTCGTAGTATTACAAAGCCTGAATTAATAGACGGTGGTAATATAATGACCTATGTGTTGGACTACTATTTTCAAGGTCAGCAGTTTGAATCCACCAGGTCCTCCCAGGGAGAAAAATGAGGCTTTCTGCTCCCATAAAGATTTACATCCCGGGAAGCCCTTTGCTGGGTCTCGCGGAGTCGGAAGTGACTCAACAGCAGTGGGATGTTTGCTCTGGTTACTGGTCTTATAGACCCCCACTCGTGACTCTCTCACCTGGTGTGCCCGAAACGCATGGTACCATAGGCTGCGCAGGGCGGCACCTCCTCCTGGAGCTTGCCTTTTAGCCAGAGACTGAGAAGGGAAGGGGCTTTTAGAATACTGAAACAAGCAGCTCTGTGGGGGAGTACCGCAGTTTCAGGAGTGCCTGGTGCTTTTTGGCATGCTAGTTGATCTCCTCAGAGACCTCACCTCTACTGAAGGGGAACCATTGATAAAACAGTTTCAGAGACACAATGTTGCCTATTTTCAATACTTCATTTCTTGGGAAAAGGGGAATGTAACAAACTAAATGGCCTTGTGGTATAGGGAGTACATTCCAACAGAGCAAACAATTTATGATATTTTCATTTTCATGGTCTGAGGCTAGATGCTTCCTTAGTTCATGCTTGAATACCTATTTTCTTAACCTGTGAATTGGAGCAGATGCATGAAACATTTCTAAGTCTTGGGATTTTCGCAAACTTTAAACAGAATACAATAGGGCACAATTATGAGCCAGCTCGATTTGCTACAGTTTATTTATTAGATGTGAACTTACTTACATTCCCATAGGTAATGTCAACTCAAAGGGCAACCCTGAGGAAGTGCTGACGCTCCCTCAGTGTCTCATTGAACGGCCCGCAGAAGACCCGGGTTTGCCTCCAGACTTGGCGGAGTGTGATGTGCCTGGATCCTGCAGCCCCTGCGTAAAAAAGACCTTCCTGCCTGGCTGTGCTACTTTTGATCATAATTCAAATATACACACTGTAGAAGTTAAAGAAAATATTCCAAAAGCCAAAAGCCAGTTGGAAAGTGAAAATGAACTTAAAAAAGCTGCGCCTGGGAATGTAAATGATGGTCCTTCGAGTGATCCTGTGACTGAAGAATACGTTGTGTCTCGTTACCCCAGACCGCATTTTACCCTGCAGGCCCAGGAGCTGGGAAACCGTGGTCAGATCTCGAAAATTCCCAAGGATGAGAGCACAGGGCATGGAAAGGGGGGTGACCTCCTCATAGCTGACGAGGAAAAACCTGAATCCAGTCATTTGGTGTCTGACTCACTGAAAGAGGTCTTCAATGAAAATGTGGAAGAATCTAAAGGTCCAAGTGAGGGTCCGGGAAGAAAATCTTCAGGCACAAGTAGTGAAATGACTTGTCAAGAAAGGAAGCAGAGAAGGCGCGCGATGTGTTACCCTAACAGTAAAAGTGCACAATTGGGAGAAGATGGCAGCCACGAACATGCCAGCAGAGTGGGCACCTCTGTAGGAATCACCTTAGAAAATCCTGAACTATGTAAAGAGCTGTCCGATGCCATAGAGCAAACCTTGAAGAGACCCCATGCTGAAACAAAGGTGAGGCGGAGCACCAGGCTACGCAAAGATTTGGAAAACGAAGGACTCATATGGGTTTCACTGCCAGCAGGGTGTCCTGCCCCTTCTACTAATCAAAAAATGAAAAGGAGAACCGTATGTGCATTTGACAACAGAGGGTTTGAACACGCGTCTTCCGGTAAGACCCCAGGCCCCCGGCCCTCCACAGCAGACACAGATAACAGTAAGGGTCGTGCTGCTGGTTCGCTTGAGAGGAGGAGGATGAGCTTTTGTACATCTTCACTTGCAAACGCTAAACCCCCGCTCAACCAGGATGCTGCAGAAAATCCTTTCTCAGCCAGAGGGAAAAAGCCCTCTAACTGGCTGTAAAAGAACTGGACTCACTGAAGAACTAAAGCAATAACTCAGAATAGTTGGCAAGAGAGAAGGTTGCCATCCATGTTTAAGAGAGCCTTTCATTCTTGGTCCTGTTTGTTCAACTTCAGTATTTTAAAGGTTTCGTGTAAATAAAAAATTTTGCATTCAGCCTAATTTTAAGTAGAAATCAGCGAATTTCTTCATCCAAAAAGAAAATATGCTACTAAAATGTTCTTTCTCACTCCCATGGCAAATACCTTATTAGTATTTTGCTAAAAGAAGTTTTTTGTTTGGTATTTACTTAGTACTATTTTTTTATCATTTTATTGGGAATTTTAATTTTCTGTGAATACGTGTTTATAACTGACTCCTTTAGAAAGCCTCTGTTGGGCAAAGCATCTTTTAGAATTGACAAGTTTTTTTCTGGATAAAATTTTTTGAAGGCAAGTTGATAAACTTTATGAAAACTGAAGGTGAGATAATCTTGAAGATTGAAAGAAAATAGGATGTTTTTATTTTTAAAATTTAAAAAACTGATTAAAATTTTAACAGTATGTAAGAGAAATTAAAAGAAGCATTGATGACTTGCTTTATCAGCATTAATTAAAAATTAATAGTTAAAAATCAAATATAAAAATCCTAAAAAATTCTTTTTTTTAATTAAATAATTTTATTGGGGGCTTGTACAACTCTTAACACAATCCATAGTAGCCAGAATTTATTATTTTTTTAAATCGTTTTATTAGGGGGTCATACAACTCTTATTGCAATCCATACATACATCAATGTGTAAAGCACATTTGTACATTCATTGCCCTCATCATTCTCAAAACATTTGCTCTACCTAAGCCCCTAGTAGCCAGAATTTCACAAATGAATATATATTTTATAAGTAACTATTGTTAAAGCATTATTTCCTCCAAAAGAGCTGAATGCTTTGTATGCAATGGGTGGGGGCTTAGATATTGATGACAATATTACAATTTTGTATGATGATTAAACTCTAACTTAAATGATTATTTAAGTTAGTCACGGGTAACTAAGCGTTCAGTTCATGGTCTCTCAAAAGAGAACACCAGAAATTCACTGGAAGGAGACTTAGAAAACAACCATGGAAGATGGTTGATAGTCACTGGTTTCTTTCTCTTTTTTTAATGGTGTTTTCTAGCCATGTTAATTTTTTATTTCCTAATATCACTTTTTTCATAATATCAGTATCACTTATTTCCACCTCTCTAAAATAACTCCAATAGTTATTTTGCTGAGAGCATTTTGGAAATTGAAGTTGCTATGTATCTTCAAATTGTGACTGTGCATAAATCATTGTATCATTAAACAGTTGTCTTTGAAATCCTTTCAATCATCAAACCCCTTCTCCCTGATAGCAGAAACATGTTAACAAATAGCGCCCCTATAAATAACGCAACAGGGAAGAAAGCTCCTGCTGAGTTGCCCATTTTCCCTCCTTAGATAGAGACTATTTGTTACCTTCTTGGCACCAGCAGGTCTGGACCTCCTGCTGCTGAAGACTAATGTATTTTACATTACCACTCCCAGTGATCCCCGATTTCTTCACTAAAGGGTGGATTGTTTGAAAGACTTCTTTTATCTTTGCACTTAAATTATTTATGGACTCTTCCTCCACCTCTTGGTTGGCAAGTCCATGTCACTGGAAACAAACCCAAAAACAGCAGCAGGCTTAACTTGTGAACTTCTAGTTCTCATCATTTACAAAAAAGAAAAGGGGAAATGGAAGGTTCACTTGCTTGTACCTGCCTACTTTAACATGAAACCTAAAAAATAACACTTCATAGCTCCCCCCCCCTCCCCTTTTATTCTGTATGGCAAAATAAGTGCATGCCAACAAGATGAGAAACCTGATCTGTGGTGTTGGTGTGCCGGGTCAACATAAAGTATTCTGTATAGCTAAAACGGATTACAGCCTGTTGGTTTCAAAATGTTTCATCATGAATATTTTGTTGGTTTCTGCAGATAATAACTAGGCAGTTATGGACTGCTCGGTACTTGGTTTGTCTTAGTGCTTCAACCAAAAGCTTGACTTCAAGATAATGGCATCTTTTATTTTAACTGCATCAACCGCTGGCATTTTGCTGTACCAGGCTTTTGGTGCAGGTGTCTATGCTTACTTGTTCCAGAAGGTGGCAGCAAGACATCTGAGGTTCCCTCCCAGGTTAACAGCCAGAAAGAGCAACTCTAATGGTTTCATGTGCTTCCCTTGGCTCATTTTTACTAGGCAAGTGGACAAATGTCTACGTGTGCTCCTGTAACCACCGGCAGGCCAGTCGTAAAGCATGTGCATCGCTTCAAATGGAGTGCTTCCTTGCAGTCATTATTGTGAAAGGGAGGTGTGTTTCCTGGAGGTGAGGTTGGAAGACCAGAACTGTAAAGAAGTAGAAAACTTGGCAACTTTCTCCTCCACTCCATGCAGCCACCCTCTCTTCAGTGTTCTATGTATAAATACTGTGAACAGCTGATTTATATCTCCCAGACCTGTGTTCACATTAACAGAGGTTTTGTTGCTTTTAAATGGCATCACTGTCCATGTCATTCTGCAACCTGATTTTTTTGTTATTCAATGAAACGCCAGGAATATCCTTTAATCTTTCTGTGAGGTGCACTACTGTTACTTTAGTTTTAGCCTCTGCATATAATTCTGTGACCTAGATAGCTGTCATTTAGTTGGCCATTTCCTTAGGGTGCTCCTTGTCTCCAGTTGTTTGCTATGGAAAAGGATGCCACTGGAGCTTGAGAGACATATCTATAGGATCAATTATTTGGAAATGAAATGGTTATTAACTTCTGTTCCCGAGACCTTAACTGGAAACTCCCACTGAAAGACTCCTGTGTGAAGTTTGTTAAAGTATAAGTTAACCCAAAATAAAACAACCTTTTTAAGTATATGGCTTACATTGGGCAAATGTGTGTGTGTGTGTGTGTATATATATGCTCCATAACTATCAACACAGGCAAGTTGTAAAACATTTGCATCATCTCAAAAGTTCATGCAGTCAAATCCCTCTCCCCCACCTGCAGCCACTGATAGAATTTCTATGATTATCGTCTTGCTGTTTCTAGAACGCCATATAAATCAGCCTAATGCTTTTAAGATGCTTCCATGTTACATGGTCTAGATACTTGACTCCTGTTTGATGGCTGAGTAGTGTTCCATTTAATGATTATATCACAGTTGTTCTTATCCATTCACCAGTTATGGATATTTAGATTTTTTTCATGAATAAAGCAGCTACAAATATTCACATTGATTCACCTTTGTATGGAAATAAGCATGTTTTCATTTATGCTGGGTAAATACATAGGCTTGAAATTACTGGGATGTATCTTGTATGGTAGCTATACGAGGGGTACCCCCCCAAAACTCCCCCCCTCCATAGCTGTGTATTTAATTTTTATCCCAAACATCATCAATGACTTATTTTTTATTATGTAGAGAAAAGCCTGAGTTAACAAGACAAAAAAAGCATACTTAAACAGACTAGCAGGTAGCCTGGATATCAAGCTTTGACTTGGTTCATATTCCTGGATCCCATTGTTCTTTTAAAAAAAATTTTTTTTAATGTCATTTTATTAGGAGCTCATACAACTCTTACCACAATGCATACATACATCAATTGTGTAAAGCACATTTGTACATTCATTGCCCTCATTCACAGAACATTTGCTCTCCACCTATGATTTTTTTAACAGAACAACCTTATCTTTAAAGTACCTTTCCATTACACTTAATACATTTGTCAAATCTGTGATTGCATTCTTGGAAACATTTTTTCAAACTCATCTGTTTGGATGGCTGACAGCACCTCCTCCTCTTCTATGTCTTAAAATCGCTGTCCTTTCATGACCCTATTCATTTATGGGAACAAAAAGAAGGTCCATGGAGTGTGGTCAATTGTGAGGAACAAGAGAGGCATGCTGTTTTTTGGCCCAAAACTGGCCCACTGAGATGGCTGTGCGAGGAGGTGTATTGTGGTGGCCAAACCTGTCTGCCACAAATCGCACCTTTTTTGTTGGACAGTTATGCTATCTTTTCAGAACCCCTAAATAGGAAGCTTGATTAACAGTCTGACCTGGTGGCTCAAACCCCAAATGCACTATTAGTAGACATGTCAAGAACGAGGTTTATCGTCAGTGCACATTTCACCTTTTTTGAAACGAGAAAACCACTCAGACAATTGAATTTTTCCCTCAGCGCTGTCCTTGTAAGCTGTGTTCAATATCACAACAGTTTCTGTGGCATTTTTCCCAAGCAGGAAACAAAGTTTCACAGCTGCACGCTATTCTCTTACATTGACCATCACAACAAACAAGGTTCAAATGAAACTGCTTTCAGGAAAAAATTCACTGTGACCAGAGAGAACCTTCCCAGGCAATGCCGATGGGTGCACTAACTCAGAGCTAGTTGCTGGATGCTCGCCTAACGGGGAAAAATGTGTGCTATGAAATCTCTGCTTGGCCCAGCACAATTCCGATTTGGGGGTTGGGGCAGGGGGGTATCCCCTCATATTGAACATGAAAAATTACCAAATTTCTCTTAATATTGGCTCCATTTTGCACTTCCACTAGCAATATATTACTTTGTTTTTCCATATCTTCAACACCTGGTATTGACAGTTCATTTTATCCATGTTGTAGTACTCGTTTTGATTTCTGATGATGTGATAATGTTGAACATCTTGTACTTATCTGTCACCATTATTGTTCCTGGTTGAAGTGTCCATTCAAATCGTCTGTTTTCTTGTTCTTACAGTTATCTTGTTACTGAATTAAAAGGGTTCCGTTTCATTTGGATACAAGTTCTTTCTTGGATTATCTTGAGTGTGTTTCGCAAGGCTCTAGCTTGTCTTTATGTTTTCTTAGTAGGGCCGTTGAAGAACAGAAGGCTTTAATTTTTGTATCAATTTTATCTCCTTTCTTTAAAAAAATGTTTTTAAATCATACAACTCTTATCATAATCCATACATACATCCATTGTGTCAAGCACATTTGTACATTTGTTGCCATCATCATTATCAAAACATTTGTTTTCTACTTGCTGAGCCCTTGATATCTGATCTTCATTTTTGCCCCTCGCTCCCCCGCCCTCCCCCTTTCTTTTTTTATAGTGGTTTATCTTTTTCATTCTAAGAAATTTATAC